TTTATGATACAGAAGATAAACCACTTTTCGTTGATATGTTTACATTGTTTATGATTCACACCGATTTTCACCTCAGCATGATTAAAACACCTCACTCTATGTTTTAACTTGTTCTCAATAAAACATAACGATTCATCTGATATACCACAAACTGATGAAATTTTGATACTCTGTGTCGATGGTTAGTCTATGTACCATAGGCTATCAGACGCACCAATCCATTCTCACCAAACATTCTTCTTTTGAATCTTATGACTCAGCATATGAAGCCAGACGCTGATGAGAATTCAAAAACTCTGTGCCGATGGTATATCACATACCATGATATATTACACACACCTACCTATTCTCTCCCTACAATTCTTCAATTAAAGTAGTTGATGATTCACTTTATTTGCTATATACTGATAAAACATTGACACTCTATGATGATGGGTGCATTCCATACCGGAATGTAATACATCCATCATCCCATTTTTGCCTATATTCTTCTAATAAACGAAGTTAATGATTCAACATATAAAACCATACACCGATGATACTTCGCAATACTATGTTAGTGAATGATGGTCCAAACCCATGCTATCAAGATACATCTTAATCTCACTCGTTCATCTGCTGCAACATACGTTGACCGTTTCAACTCATAATACAATGATGTTGATCTCAAAAAGGGGGAGAGATCATATACTAATATGTACATATCTTCTTAGGGAGATACTTTCATTTTCTTAGGGGAGACAATTTCAAAACGCAAGAAATGTTCTTAATCTCAGGGGGGGAGCATTCATTGTCTCCTCACTTCAGAAGCTAACAAGTTTTCCTATGATGACTATGATAATTCCCTTGAAGACCAGTTTTGACATCGTTAGATAGGTGAGACTGTATGGTCACACCTTATGATCTGACGAGTCAAACACATTACACGCTGATCACCAGCGTCATCGTCAATGTCAGTGCCTACTTTAGTATGATTAGCATCAATGTGAACTTAATAATATTGGTAATTATATGTATATTAGGCAGTTATACGTTGTATATATGGAATGGATATCTGATTCGTAATCTTCGTGATTAGGATTATACATTTACTTAGATTAGTATACATCCCCAAAATAGTGGGATCTTCATTATTATAATCGTATGTAATGTACTATTTGGGTAAACTCCTAATAGAGCTTTGTGTCGTCTTTGTGACCCCGTTCTCTTTGTGAGAACCCCTCTTTCTTACTGAAGGTATCTTTGTTATTATTCAAGTTCTTAATTTTCTGTTTAATATTTGCTTTATTTGTTTCTTTTTTGTTATTCACACTTGAGTGTATCCGGTCGATACAAACATTCATATGTGTATGATGATTAAATACATGTACATTGTGATAACCATTTATTTTTAAAGCCTTTTTGGAAATCTTTTCTTCTTCATCATATTATATAAGTCTCTTAATTAAAAACGATTATCTCAATATCTTGCTTAATATTTACAACTGAGCACTACACTAATCTCTAATTAGTCAGTAATAACACCTACACCAAAACCCTAACCTTTAGTATCGATTGATCCTAGTGGCGCATCCTCAACAAAACTATCACATCATGAAGTTATTTATCCAAAAGTAACTATTAATGTATCTAAGAGAATAAATTTATAAAATATCGATATAATAATATTTATCCTATTTGTAAGTGACTTACATTTTCTTCGTGAAAATGTTTGTATTTTTTTTGTTCATTTCCGTACAATGATATTGACGAGAAAACATAGATACGAATTTAACCTTAATTTCTTGTATGAGTTAAATATATTTATTTGGACTAATTTTAAGATGGTTTAAAGTATATATATATATATATATATATATATATATATATATATATATATATATATATATACCTTGAGTTATCAACAAAACGAAAATGATATCATAAAATATTTAGGTGGAGATTGTAACGTCCCAAATTTTACAGTAAACTTTTCATTTATTATTAAAACCATTTTTTCCAATTCCAAATTCAAAGATCCAAGTAAAACCATTTGTTTCAAACATTAATCGATCTATGAACATAAAAGTTATCAAATGCAAAAATTCCCAATGGATGTGATATAATCAATCCACGCCTTTTCCTCGTTACGAGATAACCTGAAATAATTTAAACTTAAAACTGTAAGAAAAAAGCTTAGTGAGTTCCCAAGATACCACATACCATATGTGACAATTGGAAATTTTCCGTCACCAATTATCACTAAAGATTAGCATCAACCGATGATAATGATAGAACTTTTCATATCGAAGGAAAACATGATCTGTTAAATTGTAACATCCATAAAATTCGAGCCAATTTAAAACTTTTTAAATCATTTAAAACCATTTGGTTATTACAATTTGTTTTCAAAATAGTTTAAACATCAGAGTTCCCAGAAATCATAATCATCAATCGAGGAAGTGTACAGTCACGCCTTCGCCTTCCCGCGGTTATCCGCTGAACCTGAAACAATAAACTGAAACTGTAAGCTCGAAGGCTTAGTGAGTTACCCCCAAAATACCAACGCCATACCGATATAACCATAACATATAACATATAAGTGAATAGAATAGCCATGCATCTCGGGTCTACAATGTGACTGGTCTGCCCGCACCGGGCCTTCAGTCCACCTGGTCCACTCTCTGAGTCTACAGTATGCATAATGAGCCTTCAGCCTGACTGGACTGCCTCGCAGGCTTTCAGTCTATCTGGACCGCTCTCCAAGCCTTCGGTACATCTGGACCGCCTCGCAAGGCCTTCAGCCTATTCGGACCGCTCGCTGGGTATGTTGGCCTTCAGCACAAAGCAGGACCGCCTCAACCCTACCCCCAATCAAAAAACCATGTGCACATATAAAAAATAATCACATAACAGTCTATAGACAGACAAACCGATCTAACAGATCAGTGCAATATATAACATCCTATCTACTAGGATACTGATTGAACGGATCATAACAGCATATAACATCCTATCTACTAGGATACCGATCTAACAAATCATAACAACATCTTATCTACCAGGATACCGATCTAACAGATCATAATAGCATATAACATCCTATCTACCAGAATACCGATCTAACAAATCATAACAGCATATATCATCTTATCTACTAGGATACCGATCTAACAGATCATAACAGCATATAACATCCTATCTACCAGGATACCGATCTAACAGATCATAACAGCATAACATATCAGGATAACAATCCGAAAAGGGTCGGCCTTGGTGCCTTAGACCCGTGAGTAAAGTAAGGATAACTCACCTCGCACTGCCGATCTGAAATGAAGAGACAAACTCCTAAATCGCTGCCTCACCCAAAAATTCCGAACAGCTGATCTCTCGACTCCCAAAGCTATCAATACCTAAATCACTAGGACAAAAATGATCTATGGTCACACTTTTGCCAAAACTGCCCAGCCACACTTTTGACTAAAGTTGTGTCAAAAGGTTATTGCTAAAATTTTGCCATTGTTTTAATGACATTTTAAGTTGTACTTCATGACCATTAGTAATATAGTTGAAACCTTTAGACACGTTTAAACATAACAAATGTGACAATTATTAGCCACACTGGAACAATGAGGCCAAATGTCACCATCCGTCACATTTTTGTTAGATATATGGAAAAACTTTGTGATGGTTTTCATTAGAGACAATAGATTATTATATGCTCACATGAAACAAATGTTTATGTGGCTGTATCATGCAGCAGATATTGACATTTGAATGCAACGTAACTAAAAGGTAATATATGGCTACATTAATTATTTGTGTGTCCATACGGTAGCTTTTATTACACACTGATTAAGAGCAACCAAACAAGTAACTATATGTATTTTATGGTCACGTTTAGTGTATTATGTGTGTCTAAAAATAAACATTTGTCATGATAAAAGAAAAAAATGTATAAGTATAAGTATGTTATAGTCACAGTTAAACATGTTATGTGTGGCTAAAAGGTATATTATATTCATGAAAAAAGGAAATACTTGTAAGTATAAGTAATTTATTGTTACTTTTTACAATTTGGCGTATGTATAAAAGTAAAAGATAGTCATCGTAAAAGAAAAAAAAAATTGATTGTAAGTATTTAAAGGTCACCAATTAAATTATTAGGTGTGTAAAAGCAAAAAAAAAAGACTATGATTAAATATAAAACGTGTGACTATGAGTATTTTATTGCCAGTTTTTAGAACACATAGTCATGATTTAATCTCTTATGCGTGTTTAATAGTTAATAATAGTCTTGATAAAGGAAAAAAAATATATGACTGTTATTATTTTGTGGACATTTATTCATTTTATATATATATATATATATATATATATATATATATATATATATATATATATATATAGATGATTATAAGTAAAAAATATTAATAATCATAAAAAAAACATGTGACCTTTAGTATTCTACGGCCATGTTTTAAGGAAAAAAAAACAAGGACTATAAGTATTATATGCTTAAGGTTTTATGAAAAAAGAACCTTGAACTACAAGTGTTGAATGGTTATGATTTAATTTTTATGTGCGACTAAAAGTAAACAATCGTCGTGAAAAAAGAAGAAACATATGAATATTAGTATTTCATGATTATTATTTAATTCTTATGTGTCGAAAAGTGAATTTTTTGTTATGATAACAGAAAAAATACATGTGACCGTAAGTATTTTTTTGTCACTGATACTTAATGTTTAATAGTTGAACTCTAAACATCTTTTGCAAAAATAGTCAAAGTAAATATAGTGATGGTTTAATTGATCATTGATTAAATAAAATAATATAAATTCAGAGAATTTGAATAGAAAATAAATTATATTAAATTAAAATACCAACAAAGAACTGGGAATAGTACAATTACAATGGGAGAAAAATAAAGTACACTCTTATAATTAAAGCTCTCCATCATTAATCCACCATTTGGTTAAAAAAATAGTTTAGCAATAAAGGTATTATTGTTACTTTTGGGTCAAAACACAAATGAGACAAAGGAGTTCTAGTTCTAATTCTAATTAATAAACATCAACCAATTTACATTTTTTTTTCAGGGGAGAACCAGTAGCAACTGCCAACTAGAATACACTACTTCGAGCAAATTTCAAAGAAACCTTTTTTCTCATTCAGGCAACTAACTTTGGGGTATCGAGCACCGGACAACAAAACGCAAATTATAACCTTTAATGCATGAACTTTGAGAGGTTGAAGGGTATGTGGAAGGAGGTTACTGGGGCTGTGAAGATCTGCATAGGCACAAGAGGAAATCAGTAATTTAACACTAAAAACGATAAATTAGAAAAAACTTGAAATACTAAGTTGCAAATAAGCAAACTACTGTTTTTTATTTCTGTTTTACCAGCTGAACATACTAAGAAAAATAACCCTGGCCAATGGTCATGTTGATGAACAGGCCAAAAATTGACCTAAATAGTCAAAATAACAAAACTGGTCCGAAAAAGAAACTTTCTACTAGAATTGGGACGTTTAAAAAAACCAAAATTCTGATTTTGTTTTTACTAAGCTGAATATAATGTGCAAATTGTCCATTTTGGTCATGTTGACCAACATGCCAAAAATAGACCTAAATAGACAATATGACCAAAAGGGTCCAAAAGCTAAACTTTATACTAGTAATGCCAAAAATAGACCTAAATAGACAATATGACCCAATGCTTTCATTGCTTTCTTAGCCTCATAGGTACTACTCAACATTTCGTTACCTTCAGGTAACATCTTCTTTATCAAAACTAATGTTTCAGTAAAGCACTTATCTAAAACTCCATACTTACTCTTCAAGTTTAGGAGTTGTACAACTGCAGACAACTTTGTGAAGTCAGGACACCCTTTGTATATTGGCTTCTCAGCATCTTCAATTAGTTTTTGAAATTTGACATAGTCTCCTATGAAAGTTTCTTCTGTGGCTTCAACTATCTCTACTGTATCTTCGGCATCCGTTGGAATTCCTATTGTGAAGCTCGTGGATTCATCGAAGTATGTTGTGTTCATTGAGTTGTTGTTTCTAAACGAAACATTTCTTTGTTGGTCCTCTTTTTCTCCATGCTTAATCCATTTGGTATAGTTTTGATCAATTCCATATCTGAATAAGTGATGATCTACTTCTGACACATGAAGACTTATGTGGTTTACACAATTAATACACGGACATGGAATTTTTATTTTTATTTTGGAATCTAGTGGGTCCATATTCCTCGAGATCTTCAAATTGCGGACTGCATAGTCCAAAAATGCTGCAACTCCATCGATGTAAGGCTTTTTGTGTCTATCAGTTCCCATCCAAGACTTGTCCATCTTTTTGTAAGGATCTGGTGTAAAAGATATTCATCCCAACATGTAAAATGTGATAAAACATTGAACATTCAGTATGGTATGAAAAGTAAAATCAGTACAAATTAGACTACATTAAAATAGGAGCAATTTGTTGGATAATTCAAAAAATATGGGTCAACATTAGTCTAGTGTTCCTCCTCTGTTCGTTATTTTGTCCACTGTGAAGTTTCCATTCTTCAAGAATCAAGTAATTTGATTGTCAAGTTTTTGTCCCTATTAATCTCTTGTTCAGATTTCCTTCATGGTTTTGTGTGCCATTCTAACATAATCAAGTGACTTGATTACTGCATAAATCTTATTCTAAAACTAAGAATTAACTGAATTAATTCCAGCACCATTGAATACTTTATTCGTTACATGTACTCTATATACATAATGTGTGTTCACAAGAATAAAACCTACTTATCTAAAAATAATATAGCACCAATCAGACAACCTAATTATCTATGAACTTATCAGGTATAAAATTGATAGCAATGGTGAAAAATTGCAGAAACTAAGCGAAAATGGAAGGTGAAAAAGGAATTTCCAGTGAAAATTATATCATTCATTCTCATGATATTAATTTAAAAACACAAACTTAAAGTAAAAAACGGAGTACCAGGAATAATGTTTAGCTGTTCAAAAAAAAATTCTAGACAATTTGTACTTTAAGATGCTCTGTGTAAATACATTTGCTTGAAGCATTCAGGATTAAACAGGTTTATGATGAAAATTTTAATACATTCAGATTCCAGCATTGATCAAGATTCATTAATGAGGGGTTTCAAGCATTCAAGACTTAATAAGCATAGTCTCCTGGTTGATTATGTTGCCAAAACGAAGGGAATATATGGAAACGGAATTGTGAAAATTCATATTAAAGCAACCATACATAAGTTTAAGATCAAGTGTCGACAAGTATTTCAACACATTCACGTTGGAAAATTGATCAAAATCATGAACATAGATGGAGAGAGGGAAAAAAAGGAATGCATCGTATTTCAATTACCTGCTGGGTATTCTTGATTTCAAGAAGGAAGGTACGACAGACAAGACGAGGACGTAGAGGTTAACACAGCCGATCGTGAAGAAGAGGGCAACAAGAAAATTGATAACATTTACTAAATCCTGCCAAGGGCATTATTGTCTATTAAGTTTTTCTTTCAATTTTATTGATTTAAAATTATTAAAAAGGATCGTGAAGAAGAGGGCCACAAGAAAATTGATGCGTGAAGCAAGATATTTTTTAAAATCTAAATAAGATATAAAATTTTAGATAACCATGAGTAAAGTAATTAAGAAAACGAAAAGTGAGAAATATAAATCTATATGATTAATTAATATGTAAATCAAAATGGTATTATTATATAAAAAAAATTGTTTGTAAAGGATAAATGTGGTAAAGAAAAATTAATTTCCACCACCTGTCATCGCTACCACCATCACCACCACCACCGCTACCACCATCGCCACCACCACCGCTGTTACCACTACCGCCACAACCACAACTACCGTCTCCACCACCACCACCTACCACCGCCACCGCCACCACCACCTACCACCGCCACTACCATCCCCACCCGTCATCGCCGCCGCCAGCACCACCCATCTCCACCACAACCTACCACTGCTGTTGTCATTGCCGCCACCACCACCTACCGTTGTCGCCATCACCAACACCACCACCTACCACCGCCATCGCCACCACCACCACCTACCGACATCACCACAACTACCGTCTCCACTACCACCACTGCCATAACTACTGCCACCACCGCCTACAACCGTCACCACCTACCACCACCACCACTACAACCACCGTCACCACCACTACCATCATCAGCTACTATCACCCATCACCACCACCACTTACCACCGCCATCGACATGAATGCTCAATTAATAAAATGAAAATTTTTACTATTTTATAGGTTATATAATATATCTTTACATCTATGATGGAAAACAAAGTAAAATTAAACAAAACAGACAAAAAGGGCGAATCTGTCATTTTACATAGATTACAATTTCATTTATAGCCAACCAAACAGAACCTGGAATTAATTCCAATTCTATTTCCTGCCAACCAAACAGTATAGAAAATTGGATTCAAAGTCCTGATAGATTCATTTTCCAATTCCAATTCCATTTCCTTTAAAAACATTCTACGAACCAAACAACACCTTAGGCTATCAACACCTTATACAAGATTATGAGTAACCATTCAAAGCTAATGGCTTGTGTCTTTAGGGCATATGGGATTATGACATACCACTTAAGGCTAATGAGTTATTATGTGAGTGTTTGGGATTGTGGCTTTATGCTTATTTTACATTTGGTTTAAAAGGATTTTATTATTTTTACAAATAGTTTTTGTATTTATGATTATTAACAGACACCACTACATAAGGCCAAATGGCAGTTATGGATATATGGGTATTAACAAACACCACAATCACTTGTCGCCACTGCTACCACCCACCACCAACACCTGTCACCGCTACAACCATCGCCACCACCACTCGTACCACCATCGCTGCAACCACCGTTACCACTACCGCCACCACCACAACTACCGTCTCCACCACCAACCACCAACCACCACCACCACCTACCACCTCCACCACCGCCTATCACCGCTACCGCCACCACCTACCTCCACCACCACCAAAACGCCAACCATTACTACCACCACCACCACCACCACCACTTGCCACCACCACCTACCACCGCCACTACCACCCCCACCCATCATCGCCACCACCACCACAACCCATCTCCATCACCACTTACCATCGCTACTATCGTCGCCGCCACCACACACTTACCGTCGTCGCCACCACCACCACCTACCACCACCTACCGCTACCGCTACCGCCACCACCACCCAAGACCTTTCACCTCAACTACCACCTACCGCTACCGCCACCACCACCGCCACCACCACCCAACACCTTTCACCTCAACTACCACCTACCGCTACCACCACCCACTACCTACCAAACAACACCTTAGGGTATGAGGAATTATGGATATAAGCCGAGATCATATGGTTATATGATAATAGGGGATTATGGTTATATGATAATAAACACTCACTAAATGCTAATGACTAATGCCTTTAGGGTATGGGGAATTATGGCTACCAGATTATGAGTAAGACTTAAGGCTAATTACTTATTATTTATGGTCCATTTGGGATTATGGCTATTGGATTACTACATATAATCAAGATATTCATCGAAAGCTAATGACTTGTGACTTTTGGGCATATGAGATTATGACTACAACTTAAGGCTAATGACTTATTCTTTATCGGCCATTTGGGATTATGGCTTTATGTTTATACTTTTGCAAAAACCGAAATTTTTCGATAAGGTGCGGTTTTTATATATTCATCAACCGCAAAAACGGAATCGAACCTTACTATTATATTATATATTAATTAAATTATATATTTATATTTTATATATAATAATAGCTATATATACTTAGACTAATTAAACAATGAATATAAATTTATCTTTAGCAAAAAATTTAACAAAAAGAAAAAATAGTTAATATTTTTCATTTAATACGTCCAAAAAATGTTGCCAACACAATATGTACGTAAATTTTGAGATTTTCTTCACATTTTACAAGGACCAAAATGTAATTTTTATTAAATTTGGTAAATGGCAATGTTGATACAGTTTCAAATCGTTTGAGGAGGATGTGATGAAATCTAGGAACAATTAGAAACTATATCAAATAGACAAATACGCTTTTCGCCTCCAAAATCGTTTTAGGGTTCAGAAAGGATCACAAGAAAATTTCAAGAATGTGTTTACTCTCCAAAATCAAGGCGGGAAGTCTACATCTTTCTCACCGCCAAAACCATATCAAATCGATTTGAGAAAGGTAATGTCGAGATATTAGGTATCATCCTTGAAATTAGGAACAGATTAATTTCATCTCTATAAAGAAGATTGATTTATTCAATCACTTTTATCGTCTTCTCCATTGTGAAAGAAAATCAGTTGTACTACAAGTGTTCTTCTACCAAAATCGTTCTTTATTCGGTTGTAAGTCTCCATGAATGTTAACATTAAGTTTGTCTTTCAGTGGATTAAAAATGTTACTGGTAGTATATTGTTCCAAATTATGCCATAACAAAAAATAATTTTTTTGAACACCAGGTGTACTTATTGCACATTAACTGTTTGATGAAAAGCCTAAATCAATAATTTATGTTAAATATTATTGTATGGTATCATATTCTTTAATGAAATACTAATCTGATTACACTAACTTGTATGTTATTTTTCATGTTTAATTAAGCATTATGGAAGGAGAAAACACATTGATCGAAGATGTGCCTATATTGGAAATGGAGGAGGAGGACCAAGATGATGGATCTGATCTAGATGATTCAGAACATGAAGACACATCTGATTACACTTCTAGCGATTCCGATAGCAATACAAGCGATTCCGATAGCAATACAGAGACTACAAAGAAAACAAGGAAGAGGGGATTGACTCGATTGCCAAAGTTACGGGCCGAACATACAAATTCTGGTGGAAGAAAAAAACGTGTAAAGTTTGATGAATTTGGAAGGTTTGCAGGGAAGTATAGATCACAGTTACCTAGTTATCTGGGAGACTTAGTACGGGAAAGGGTAGGAGTTAGTGTTTTCAATTGGAAGAAGGTAACAAAAGAAGTTAAGGAAAAACTATGGGAAGAGATAACGGTAAATAATGTTTTTTTATATGCAACTCATATGTTATTGTTATTCTCCAATGCAATTTCATTCAATGACTAACATACTAGTTATTTGTATTTCAGCGTTTTTATGAAATTGAAGATAGTCGAAGAAAATATATAATGAATCGGCTTGGTATCCTTCTACGGAATTTTAGAAGAAAATTGTATGCAAAATACATAAAGCCCAACTTAGGGAATACCACCAAGCTTAAAAGAATTCCTAAACGATATCGTACAATAATTCTTAGCCAAGCTCACTGGGACAAGTTCGTTGAACACACACAGTCAGACCAATTCAAGGTTAAATTCATTGTTTATATTCATTATCACTTTTATTTTATATTTTCTTAAGGTAAAAAATACTTATAAGATCTGTGAAATTTATTTTTTGGAAGGATACGTCGAGAAAGGCGATAGTAGCGCGTTCGAAGTCGAATTATAATCACCGGATGGGACGAGGAGGATATACGGCTCTAAGAGAGAAACTGGTAAGTTCTATCTTTGATTGGATTGTGTATCTTTATATGTGTTTGTTTTTTAGGAAATCTCTCAAAGTATAAAAAAGATGTAAAAGAGTTATCGAAGGGTAAAATTGGAATTGAGTTATTAAAAATAAATGATACATGTGGTTTGTTAGAAATTTGAAGAAGTTTATAATACATTATGAGCACAATTAAACAACACAGATTTTGATGCGTTACAAGTATGTGATTGATTTCACGATAGCTCAATGATTGATACAGTAAATGGTTTGTTACATATATAATATTCATATTTTTATGCCGACAAACTAGTCATCACGAGTAAATTGACATTTACTTGCAAATTACAATATAACTAGCATATGGTTTTTCATAATAAGAGATTCTAGTGAAATGGTAAATTTAAAATTTATGACATGTTTTAATTTGATTTTAGTTGGATATAAATGTCATTATATTAAAAAGTTCATATCATAACAACTGATATGTTTTACTGTTTATACAAACAGTGGCGGATCCCTTTGGAGGCCAGGAGAGGCCATGGCCTCCCCGGTTTTTTGCCTGCTATTTATCATATCCTTAGCCAAAATATATGTTTGGGTTTGTACCAAAAATGAACACACTGTCGGTGAAAATTAAAAGGAACGAAACATTAAATAAACATATTGAAGTCTTCTAAATCAAAACAAACCCCCTATAAATTTGGTAATCCAAATCAAATCCTAACATGATATTGTGAGATTTTATCGTATCGTCAAATAGTTAAACAAATCTCAAAAAGTTCAAAAACAAAGAAAAGAAGTCAAGCGGGTTACTGCCGGAAACCGCTGCTCCCAGTCTTCTTAAAAATAATGCCGGTCAATCGTCACTGCCGGAAACCGCTGCTATTCATCACCTTAGAACTCATCTCGACCATTGTTGAACGCCATCTCCGGTATCTACTTCTTACTATCTATTCTTATGCTCTCCGTTCCTTAGTTGACCCTCTTTTCTTGTTGATATTGTTATTAAGTAAGAAAGTGTGTTCTGCTCTAATTTAACCAGTCATAAAGGTATGTGCTGTCAAAATCTTGAAGAAAAGATGATGCTCCTCTGTCAAAAAAAATAATAATAAAAATAAAAAAAGAGATTCTTGATATTTTATGAACTTTTGATTGTTTTGAAGATAAGCTATTTGTTATTTCTTTTTTTTTTTTTTAAGAAATACTAATATTTATATTATAGTTATGATTTCGTTATTTTATATTTATAATTTAATTGGATTTCTTTTAAATTAGTCATTGTAACCGTAACCACTTCATATAACCACAATTACTTCTTCTATTAATAAAAACATTTATATTTTCCCATAATGACTTAATACATTTTTATTTGGTTATGTTTTAAAGTTTTGTTTTGGCCCCTCCAATTTTGATGTTTGTGTTCCGCCCCGGTATACAAATCATTATAAGTAAGATAGTTTACAAATAAGCAGTGTAATCAAAATTGTCATGTGCACAATTGTTATGTATCTGGTCTTTTGCAAACAGGTTCAAAACTGCCGACACTAACCACCTGGAAAAAATGTCCGTTTTTACATCAGGTGGTCCAAGAAAGACCAACATTTACCAACAAATTAATGGATCATTTTTTTTTATAATTTTCTTGTCTTTTATTTCCCC